TAGCGTGACAAACTAACAAGCTAAACTGAGGTCCTCCATCCATATTTTCAATTGCAGCKTGWGTTATTTCTACCTTTTCTCTGTCAACGCTCTCTGGTTTCATTTAAAAGAGCCGATCATCAGATACTGTATTGTCCAAGATTAACCTTCAGGGTGGATATAGCTCGCTAGCYCCTATGATCTATCCACATCATCATTTACCCAGAATGCTGTGTGTGTAAATAAAATGGCCCCGTCTGTGTAATATATTTTTAAACTTTTAGTTTAAAAATTATAAAAACTAAAGAGGCTGCAGTATTTTTAGTCTTTATTTTACAGTTAAAATATATGTTTACCAAATAAAGTCTGTTACAACTAATAGGGGATCCCTTTAAAGCGGTGTGCATTACTTCAGCTCATCAACAATAACTAATATACAAGAAAATAATTTAATACAGACATTTGCTGCCTTTCATCATAGAAAATTTCTATTAAATCAAACATGAATTCAGCTAAACCTAGTCATTTATGTTCTGAAACATGTAGCATTGGTCCTGAGATGAAAATGTTTGGGTATATGTTTTCACTATGACTCTTAGAGAAGATCACATCAACCGTTTTTTGAAATGCTCAGCTGTGAGCAACATCTGTTGAGCCAGGGTGTAGCCTTTTTTCATAACATTTGCTGCCTTTACTTGCAGCGTCTTCTGTGCTTTTACTGTGAGTAAAATAACTATATCATCTGCGCACATTGTAATGCAGCATTCTTGATTCCACACATAAAATATTGATCATAAAAAAAAAACATATACATATAACTGGGCCCGATACAGTCCCCTGTTGGACACCTATTTATGGGTGCGAAAGATATCACATTTATAATTTTCAGGGTGAGCAAAACAGAAGGTATAATTTTACTAACTTAAGCTTTTATAGAAATATATAAACAGTAATTTATCATAGAAAATTTCCTGTTGTCAAGGAACATGACCCTAATAACCCCTTTATCAAATACACTTTATTTAAAGGAGACAATAAAATACCGTTATCAAAACTCTTAGCTTTTCTCCAGTAAGGTGTGTCTCAGGAAATTGGAGCAGATGAAAAGTGCGCAATGAGGTAGTTTAAATCAAATGGGCCTCGGGTGGTATTTTGCTGAATGGAAAGAGGTAGGACCATGTTTCCAAGGTGCATACCCCCCTCGAGGCAGGAATCTGATATGTTCCATAGGCTCCCATATCCAGGCAAATAATGGTGGCTGGGGTGTAACGTTTCATCAGGTGACACATGACTGCAGCTTAAGTGCTGGGAAAGTAAGAGCTATGTCATATGCTCACATTTGGCCGGCTTTGGTTGCTTTAAGATCAGGAAATGCGCCAGGAGAGAAAGGGAGGTTATGTGAGATATGGATTTATCCTCAGAAGAAGACAGCCTGGGTTTTAGAGCTCCTCAGATTATCTCGTCACCACCACTACCATCACCCTTTAGTTGCATTGTTTTTTGTATCTATGTTCATGTTTCTTTACCAAATTA